GGTGGCTGCCTTGATGGGAGTGGTCAGGGTGGCAGGAGGGCTACGGTGATGGTTCATGCCGGCTGACAGGGACCGAGAGACGTAGACAGAGAACAGAGAGAGGAGGGGGGTGAAAAAAAGAGAGTGAATCCTCACTCCTCATCCGGCTCTCTTATGCAAAGATAAATAAAGAGGCTAAAAGCCGAAGAGAAGAAGCAGAAAGGAGCTTTTGTGGTTTCCGAGTGGGGTCCCTCTCATGGCGGTTCCCACAGCACTGGGCTTGTGATGACATTCAGCATGTTACACACACACACACTCTCTCTGATGGTCCCTGTGACTGCTGTGACTTTCGCTGGTGCCGGGCCCCAGACGGGACGGCGAGGGCCCCAAGAGCCACAGGCAGCCATTGTGCTGTCGCCGCGGAAACCAGCCTCTTTATGTCAGACATGTTTTTCTGTTTGTTTTCTTTTTTATGTCTTTAATGTGGGCAAGGGGGAATGTTCCCCCTCTCATCTGCCTCCCCCCGCCCCCCCAATCCCACTGCTCTGCGTTATTTCCTCCCAGTACCCATCTTCTCCCTCGCCTCCCTCCATCCACATTTGTTTCTCCTCTTCTCCTCCATTCCTCCCTCATGTTGCCTGCCCTCTCCTCCTGGAGATTGTCATTTGTAGAAGTCTTTGCTCAGACAGCAACAGACATCTTTGTCGTGGTGTTGCGGCCTCCCTCTCACTCAGCTCCTTTTTATCTTTACTTCGTGAGGTTTTGGCACTAACTGGCACTTTTTTTCTCTTGCAATGAAACACACACACACAAAAGAAAAACTCCGAGGCGCGCACACACACACACACACACACACACTCACTGAAAACAATGTGCACAACTCTAAAAACAACAAAACCTATCCCCAAAAGAATGCTGCCTTTCCCACGCTAAGCCAATTTTCTTCACAAGATAAAACAAACTCTCAATAACAAAGTGAAAGAAAAAGAAGGGGAACGGGGGGTGAAGAAAGCGCAATCTGGTTATGATTCGAGGCTCCAAAAAAAGCCACGACAGGATGCCCCGAACGTCTCCAAAGAGGAAAACAAACCTGGAAAAAGCCAACTGTTACTATTTTTAAGTGTGTAAGAATGTGACGCGGTGACATGACTGAGAGGCACGCCGGCTCTCGCCCGTAATCAGTCCTTTTTGACTGCGCTCTTCAGCCACATCACACAGAGCACAGCCTTTTATAAGCTACAGAGGAAGAATGGGAGAAGGAAGGGGGAAAGTGAAAAATGAGGATGATTCCAGACCCCCCTCCCCCCCCCCCCCCCCCCACCGCTGTGCATGCAACTCTGCCTGGAGGTTTCAAGACTAACTAATATTAGCTTCTTAATCTGACAATCATTCAAGTTTATGGCGGCGACTTAAATTTATGGAGCCATGCACTGCTTCGTTTGCCTCTCAGCTATTTACTTTACTCTAATTCTAGGGAGATGAACACATGTACATGAGACATGGGTTCACTGGTGCGCCATCCCTGCGTTATCGCCCATCGCTGCAGCTCTCTGACACACTCTCACTTTCCTAAATCCCTCTTATAACTCTACACCTCTGATTACGGCCTTATCGGGGAGGCATCCTGCCCACACCTTGTCCTGACTGCAGCTCTGAAGTGCAGGCCTAGGTCCTTGAACACTGGCATTAAAACCTCCCACCACTACAGTTTTCAGTGTTCCCAGAAGGGGATTACAGCGGGTGTACGGAGAAAGAACAGAAAAGAAGACTTTAAAGGAGAGGGCTATAATGACAGACATTTCCATGGAAGGAAGGAAGGAAGGAAGGAAGGAAGGAAGGAAGGAAGAAATGAAGGAAGGAAGGAAGGAAGGAAGGAAGGAAGGAA